ATGAGAATAGAAATTATAGTTCCCTGTCAAACAACAGGAAAGTCATGTAGCTAGACAAACAAGAGACATCTGAAGCCTGAACTTGTATGAGCTCGCGAAAGTGTTTGATAGGACAACAACCACATCAAAATTAAATATTGTACTAGGGAGTATAAGGTTTCATCTTAAAGAGTCATTCATTCTTTCTCATCCAGCCATACCTCGTAAATAATTGGTTCACGAAAAACAGGTTTATAGAAAGTAGATGGTGTTTCTTCAAAGGTTTCAAGTTAACGAGATTTTCATCGTTTTCGGCGTCCTAATGAAGTTTTTTTGCCTGTTTTTGGCGCGTCAACTCTGAAGTTGTCTGTTCGGTACAGTGCGATATCTAGCCAGTTCATTATATTCATTTTAATCTTCCAGATCTTGAAAGAACTCATGGCTCTTAAACGGTTGCTGATATACGGTAGTCGTGGAGGTCTAGGCTCGGTGTGTACAGGATACTTCAAGTCCAAAAACTTCGTACGTTGTGTTGGTTGTATTATTTCTTTCAGTGGATTTGCACAGTTGATTTCAAGGAAAATCCAAATGCTGATCTGAGTATTGTCATCCCCAATTCCGAATCACCAGTGAATCAACACGCAGTAATAAACAAATCATTGCTTGAAAACCTGGCGGAACATAAATTAGATGCCATTATTTGCGTTGCTGGTGGTTGGGCTGGTGGAAATGCTTCTCATAATGGTAAGGCATACTAAAGGAAGTTTGTATTTGTACAGATTTCCTAAAGAATATGGAATTGACCTGGAAACAAAGTGTCTGGTCGTCATCTATCGCATCGTCTGTTGCTACGAAGTATTTGGCAACGGGGGGCCTGCTCGTGCTCAGTGGATCTGAATCCGCACTAAATGGAACACCTAGTAAGTTCTTCAATCAAGACTGAGCACTTTTTGTCAAATTAGATCGAGGTAATTGCGATGTATGTTGGGATGCTTTTTCACAATTGGTGGGGGGATGGTGCTCCTGTTTGAGATTACCAGCGACATTCTAAACGCGCCACAAACAACTCGTTTACTTTTGCAGTGTGAATTTAAATATATCTACGGATCATTGAACGTTGGGATAAGCTTTTCTCTAGAGTATTTAGCTAGATCCGTTGGGCTGATAAATGGAGACCAAACAGTGATCTCATCGAAACAACTTCAGCCATTGATTTTCGTCCTCGAAGGTGTTACCGGTAAATACCAGAGAATCTGATGAATGTGATCGACCGTATCTCATGATCGCTGCTTTACACGTAAAACAAGTTAGCAGATCATTCTAATATATATATATATATATATATATATCATTACGCATCCGGAGCCTTTTACTAGCCAAACTCTGACCTACAAGATAAAGGGGCGTTGTGTGTTATTGACGGTCGGGTGTTCAGTTATAAGGCAGCACGGCCATTGGGTGGGAGTAAATGTCTTAGGTGCATACTGCACCTCTATAGCTGATCAAGCTATGAGCGCATTTACTGATGTTAAATTTCCTCCATTTTCGTCAGTGTCATACCGCAAATATGTGTACAGAATGTTCATTTATACTGATCATCCTTCAGACTTCATCTTGCATAACTGTCTGTTCATCCCTATAACCACACTCTCGGGAAGCACTGCAATAGAGTTTTACTTCCATTAGAAGTCACTATTGATGCATAACCACGGTCCTTTTCGATCATGGAATTTCGGACCCATCTTTCGGTCTATTTGGAGACCAAAACATGTCCAACTGATTGGAACACCTCGGTTTTGCTTCCGTTCCCCAAGAAGGGCGACAAGAAACTGCGAGAATCACTGGGACATCAGTCCGCTAGACGTGGCTGCAAAAGGTTTCCCCAGCTCGTGCTTAATCGTTTTGCTACAGTGAGGCATGCACGTACTCGGCCAAATAAAGGCTTCCAACCCGGAAAGGGATGTGTCAATCAGATTTTCATTCTTAGGCGAATTCTGGAACACCGATACAAGTTTCAACGCCCCACCGCTGCATGCTTTATTGACTTTCGCGCCGCATTCGATTCAATAAAACGCGAGTCACTGGAAGATAATGCTTCCAGATAGTGTCCCTGCAAAGTCGGTCAATATAGTGAGGTCGCACTACACCCAAACCAAAGCCTTATCCGTACCTACGGTGAAAGTCTCATCCCTTCGATCTGAGGTCAGGAATAAGACTAGGATGCCCGCTATCGCCAGTGTTGTTTAACTTCGCTGTTGATTGGATTCTGTGTCAGGCAATGGAGGGTTACCAAGGCGTCCAAGTTCCCGCGAATTGCTGGATTACTGACCTCGCTAATGACTGGGTAGTTCTTGGAGAGGACCTGACCACCTTGCAAACAGCTCTCAACCGTATCAAAAGATTGGCCTTGAGATTAGTCTTAACAAAACTAAGATGTTCGCTACCCCACCTGATCAAGCGGAACATCCCCTGCAACTGCATGGTCGGACAACAGAAATCGTATTGGACTTCAAGTACCTGGGGTCCACCATCCTGCCTAATGGACAAG